CCATAGAGTACTTAATCTGTATTTAACATAATCTTCTGGGTTAGATTTCACTTTCCTACACAGTATTTTGGTTAAATGTGCCAGACAGCATGCATAAAATTTTGGTAAGAAGTCCATGCTTCAGGTGACAACATTGACAAATGGCAAGCATGCTGCCAACACAACTTTATGGAGTTAGTAGCAAAAAATTCAAATAAACTAAAATGCAAGCAGAACAACACTTTGACTTGTCTCTTACTGCTCATTTCTGATGTGTCAAATTGATCACATTTTAAAATACGCTTTGAGAAGGAAGGCTACTAGGAAAATGGTACAAAAGGCATTTCTAAAGACCTTGCTTTTCTTTTTGTGTTCAGAAGAATATAGAAACGGCTTTTTCAAAACTTCTAACAGGAAGATTGCATTGAAAGTTAGATATTTGATGTGTGCAGTAAAAAGGCCTTTAATATTACAAAAGTAGTCTCCGTAATCCAGAGTTCAAACACCTATTTTAAAGGCATTCGGCATTATATTTAAACAAAGCTAGTGTAACGCCCGCAGCTGCAAATTGCAGGGAACAAATGCAAATAAGAAGAGTTCACGATGCAGGCTCTGAAAAGTCATCAAAGCCTCCAAGTACTTTTAAAGAATAATGTACAAAATGCCACCAGACCTCACAAGCTACCCTGCAGGAATCCATTGCTTTTCACCTGATAGAGCGGTGAAGCTAAGAACTTCAATCCTTTCTTTTTCCAGAACCTCCATAAAAATGCAAATAACAGTAGACCAATACACAACTAAAAGAAAAAAAAAAAGTTGTTTTTTTTTTAAATAAAACTTAAGTCGTTTTAAAGAGTTTAAAACTTAAAAAATTATAGCACAAATTGCATCTGTGCAATGCTGTTAAGATGGATAAATTAACAGAAATGCTGTCTGATACTGTTGCCAGGAAATTATAATGGTACAAATTACTACCACTACAACCATCACTAGGAGTTATTTCTCAACTACCAGAACTTCCTATGTTGAGTTCAACCTACCATCCAGCAAAGTTATCCCTACTTTGTAGATATGAAAAGTAAAAAAAAAGAAGTTATGTAAGAATTTTAAAAACTTCATTTTAATTCAGTGTTATACAGAGGGACTATGTATGTTATCTTGCACCATTTTAGATACCTAATAACCTTAAAAACAGCAATATGGCCAATGAGTGAAGTTACAGACAATTTCATCTTTAACCCCTCCATTTTTCTGGTAGTACAGAAGTAATAGTGGGAATGTTGAAAGCTAAACGGTCAGGTAAGATGTAAATTGGGTACTAAGAGAGATTTCATTTCAAAGCTTGGAAAAGAATAAATCCACAGTTGCAGAGACCAGCCCTTTTCCTTTCGGTGGAACAGAAGGGTACCAACGCATTTGGTCCAAAAACATCCAAGGCATTTGCTCCTGCACAGCCTGAACATGGCAGTTGGAAGGCGTCCCACTGCAACCAGCCACTCCACTGTACCAGTAGGAAGGGAGCTGGCACAACTCTACTTGCTAGGAAGCTGCTCCTGGGGTTGGGGCAGGGAGGAGCTCTGATGGAGTCTATGCTGCCCTAACCGGATCTTCTCCATCTGCTGCCCCTGCACCTCCAGATACACATTACTGACATTCATAATGGTAGGCCTTTCAGTCCTTGCTGTCCCAGCAGCTGTTGTCATGCCTCGCAGCCCACAGCAGAGCCACCTGCACAGCTGGGCCCTGCCAGGACCCCTACGGCTCAGGCGTGCAGCCTGCGCAAGAGCAGAGCATTGCTGCCGGGGGCCTCATTCTCTCTACTCTGCTTTATCCTAGCTCTTGCTAAAGATGCTTCTGCTGGTTTTCCAAACACTTTCTTTTTCATAGCTTTCGTCCTCCATTAAGAAAAAAAAAAAAAAATCTTAAATTATCCTAATCATGAGGCACTTGCCACCTTTCATGTGCCTCAACAGCTTCAGACTGGATTAATCTCCATGATGAGAAAACTAACATTAGTGGTCAATTTTCATCCAGTCAAAGGGTGAAAAAACCACCCAAACAACAAAACCAAAACCCCATCTCACAAACCTGAAATAGGAGCCTGAGACCTTCTTCCCAATTTCAGAACACTCCTGAATTTTCCCTCACATATTATCAAGAAAAGTACAAGGAGCCTTTCCAGTTCACTAAGGCTATTACTAACAGGCAGGTGGGTGACTGCTCACATCAAAGAGCATGCAGGGTTATTGCTGACCTGTATTTAATTTTCTTATTAGCGAGGCAGCATATAAAAAATAGACCTTGCAGTACTAGTGAGGGGAACAGTATTCACCTTGAGCCAGGTTCAAAATGAACAGCAGGACAAGCCACGTCATACCAAGCCAGACTAGCGAATGCAATTTGCACTTCTTCAGGCAAGCCCTCGTCCATATGACAAAGCAACTGCCCATTTAAGTGTGTAACAGGAACCTAGCAAGATATTTATTGCACTTATTCACCAGAACAGCACCTCTTAATTTTCAGCAGGGCTGGGTGTGGACAGCCACTCAAGGAGTGAGGAGAAGGCAGCCTTGCAACTCCACAGCCCTTCCCACATCCTAATTCTATTACTCATCCCCTGCGGACACTCTCAACGTTTACATTGCCATTATTGCTATTTTCCAATGAGTTGTAGGCCTTCTGGGATTGTAAAGCATTTGGTACAGTGTAAAATTGCATTATACTTAATATTGCTGCAATACACACAGGACTTCTGATTTTGTTTTTAGTAAACTGATGATTGATAAAAATGGGTACAGATAAGAAAATGCCTGGCTAAGTGCTATTTAAAAACTTCCACTGATACAGCACGTTAATTCTCTGCATGATTCACATGCAGCGTCTACGCTGCAGTAGCATTAGAGATGCTCCTCTCAGTAAAAACATTCCTATGATAAGGTAGGCTTTCTTTTTAATTGGGCATGCTTGGGAGCTGAGCACACAGCATGTGTGTGGGAAAGAGATGGGACCTAGCCCTGGGAACGAAAAAAGGCTGACTAAGAGAAGATCAACGCTTTGAGAACATAGCAAAGCAGATTTGGCTTTGTCAGGGGATGCAACCTCCCTGCAATTCCCTGTGTCCCTGCTAATTTCAAACTCAGGTCACCATCTTGAGCATGCAACAGGAGGCTGTCATCTGAAGTAAGAAGAAACACATACTGCATAGCACACATTAGCCTAAAACAATCACTAAGGGCAAAAGCAATCATGTTTACCAGCCTGCTCTGCAGTGCTGCTGGGCAGCTTGCATGCTCAGACAGAAAGATCACAACTACAGTTGGGAAGATGGGGCTTGGATGTTTGTACAAGGCCTCGCTTAGGCCCCTGGAAAGCAAATCTTGTCCTGCTTTTCTGCCACATACACAGGTGCCTGGAACATAGCCTGGAAGTCCAGGCTTTTGTCCTCAACTGTCTTTCAGGCCACCTTCAAAGCTTTTGTTTTACACAGCACTGCCTAGCACCCCTACTGTGACCAAGCTCAGTCCTCATTACAGCACCGTCTATAAACGTGACCTAATTTTTATGCCTGAATATCAACTTCTTGGACCTCTGCCTCTCCACAAGGCATGTGCTGAGGCAGGATCTCATACAGCTGCAGCTAGAAACTTAGTAGTCTGGCATTGCATAGAGGTAGCTGAAAGAAATATGGTAATAAGATGACCAGTATGTTGAATGCAGGTGCATGCAAACATAAGGAAGCTAAGAACATTTTATTAGCCATCAAGCAGCTTGAGAACTGTGTGTGACCCCCTATTACCGCCAACCAGTTTTCTGGTGTAGGGTACAAAACAGCACAGACAGTAAGAAGATGGTGAAAACACTCTGGAGCACAGTCCCAATCACCACAAATTTATTCCAATACATTGCAGCAGCGCAAAATTACTCCAGATTCCAACAAGAGGAAAAATTGCTGGACCAGTTCCCTAGCCATGTCAGAATAGGGTGAAAGCAACTAAATCGCTAACAGCATGAATTACCCAGAAAGACATTCACTAACAGTTATCTGTAGTCATATTTTGAAATATTTAATGACAACTGTAATTACTTGCAACTCGCATTTAAAAAGATTATACAGTTTAAGTGTAGACAATATCATAGAACACTTATTGGTAGGCTTCTCAAGAGCTCACGATCTTAGAGCTGAAGGGAGTAATTAAAACTACCTGCATGTTTTATCAAGGCAACTGAAAAAAGCTGACACATTAAGACTCACAGACCTTTCTTGTGATCTGAAACCAGTTTGCATAAACTTTACCTCACTTCGGGCATGCTCAAGACAGCAATTGCCGGCATGCACAGCACTGTCCTCAAGCGCTCACGCTGTGCACGGACTAGGTTCCCCATCTCCCAAGCTACAGCTTGTAGTCAGTCTGATCTTACACATCTTTTTATTTTACACTTCCCAAATGACTGCATGCTGTGGGACTCAAAAGCCTCTGTGATACAAGGTACGCAGCCACAGCACCCTTCCCAGCCTTGCACACTTACTACCTCCTACGGTTAGCAAACCCAAAGCTCGCCACATTTTGTCACCTCCCACGCACACGGGGGCCAAGCCGCGCACCCAGGCGCGGTACACGCAGCTGAGGTCCCCTCG